CAACAGAGAAAGCTCAGAGACAAGATGAGATCCTATAGTATCACAAGGACCAGAAATAGGGACTTATCGTAATCTGTAAGGAAAGGGAAAGATGTTACATGCTGTGTAACTGGAGACCCAGGAGTAGGATGGCCTCGGTGTAAGACAGATGCATTTCTGGGGTAAAGTGTTTCTTTATCAACACCACGTGGCCCCCAGTATTCTACTTACCACCCTGAATGCCAGCATCATTTATCACCCTATGTTATGGATTGAATTGTGTCTCAAAAAAAAATATATGTTGAAATCCTAACCCCTGTACCTGTGAAAGATACCTTTAACCAATCTGAGTCTTTATAGTTAAAGTGGGTTCCTTATAGACAACATATAGTTGAGTCTTTTTATCCACTCTGAAAATCTCTTTTAATTGGTATATGTAGATCATTCACTGTTCTGGTTACCTAGTGCTGCTCTGACAAGAATATACCACCAGTGGGATGGCTTTAAGAAACAGGATTTTATTCTCTTACAGTTTGGAGGTTTTAAGTCAGAGTTCAAAGTGCCAGGCTCTAGGAGCTGGATCAAAGCCCCTCAACCTTGGCTTCAGCTCTGCCTCCGGCACCCAGCCCACTGAAGCTAGAGGCTTTTCTTCACTCAGACAGCTGGGGTTGCTGAGACTGAGAAACCCAAGGCTGACAGGTAAAAAGACGCAGTCCGGATGGTACCAAACCACACGGCAGGCCGTTAATTTAAGTCCATCGAAAGTCCCAAAGTCAGCAGACCATGGCAGGCTGCTGAACAATGACATGGCTGCATGCAGGGTTCAAGTGTGCCATAAAGTAGAAACCATTCCCAAAGCTGTTTCTTATATATGGGAAGCAGACCACATATCCAAAGCAGCTACTCAGCTGCTTGTAGTAGACCCCACCATGGAGTTGATTGCTGGTCTTATCATGGGGAATAACTATCACCAGCTGCCTAGCTCTGGTAGCGTAGTGCCTAAGGCACTTAACTGCGAAGCAGAAGGCTGGCAGTTCAAACCCACCAACCACTCCTCAGAAGGAAGGTTGGGCAATTTACTTATGTAGTGATACTGCCTCTGAAACCCAAGGAGGGGTCACTATGAGTCATGTCTGGCTCGACAGCACATGACAACAACAGCTGCCCAGACACTAGACGAGGCCCAGCCAAGCTGACATACAACCTTAATTACCACATTCACATTTAAAGTGATTATTGATGTAGTTGGATTAGTATCTACCATGTTTGTAACTGTTTTTAATTCCTTGCATTATTCTTTTTTCCTTTTGTCTTTTTCTAATTTCTCTGGTTTAAATTGAGCATTTTATATTGTTCTAGTTTATCTCTGCTTTTAGCAGAGCAATTATACTTTTTTTTTTTTTTTGTAATTTTTTTTAGCGTTTGCCCTAGAGCTTTCAATATATGTTCTTAACTAATCTAAGTCCACCTTCAAAAAGAACTATACCTCTTCACATGTAGTGCAAGTGACTTTATAACCCATTATTACTCATTCTTCCTTCCCATTCCTTATAACATTGTTGCTATTCATTTCACTTATCCATGTGTCACCCAACACATTACTATATTATTATGTTAATCAAACAATTATCTTTTAGGTCACTTAAGAATAAAATTACTTCACTTATTCCTTCTCCAGTGTTCTTCATTTCCTTGTGTAGACTTTCTGTTCTATACCATTTTTCTTCTGAGTGAAGAATTTCTTTTAACAATTCTTGCAAAGAAGGTCTGGTTGCGATAAATTTCCTTGGTTTTGTGTTTCTAAGAATGCTTTTACTTCTTCACTTTTGAAGGATACTTTCACTGGATATTGAATTCTTGGTTTTTGGGGATTTTTCCCCCCAACTCTTTAAGTATTATACTCCATTCTCTTTTTGACTTGAATGTTTTCTGACAAGATGTCCATTATAATTCATATCCTTGTTCTTACAACATAAGGTGTCTGTTTCCTTCTGAATGCTTTCAAGATTTTCTCTTTGGTTCTCCACAGTTTGAATAAAACATAACTCTGGTAGCGTAGTACCTAAAACACTTGACTGCTAACCAGAAGGCTGGCGGTTCAAACTCATCAGCCACTCCTTGGAAGGAAGGTTGGGCAATTTACTTCAGTTGTGATACTGCCTCAGAAACCCAAGGAGGGGTCGCTATGAGTCAGGTCTAACTTGACAGCATATAACAACAACAACAACAAATGTAGTTTATGTTGGTGTTTTTTATCCTGCTTGCTGTTTTCTTAGCTTTCTGGATCTGTGGTTTAGAGTTGATCATTAATTTTGGGAACTTTTAAGTCATTATGATTTCAAATACTTCTTTTGCTTCATTTTCTCCCTTTGTTCACTTTCTGCTATTCCAATTATACATATGTTACAACTTTTGAAATCATCTCATATTTCTTGGATGTTCTGCTATTTTTTGTTGTTTCCATTTTTTTTCCCTTTGCATTTCAGATATGAATGTGCTTGTAGTGTATGCAGAGGAAACCACGTAATTTGAAGTTTCATTGCAATTGGGTAATAATGACAGCTCTGACTACAGTGCATTAGAAGGTTCAAAAAGTAAATTAACATAGAGTTTTAGCTTTGTACGTATACTGATACGTGTAAGCTGGGATTATGAAAACTGCTTTTGTTGTGATAACTATAGGGATGATTTTATAAAAAAATAAATTTCTGCTGACAACTATGTATACAAATTCTACAGACTGTCATCTTGGTGTCACCCCTCTGACAGTGTCACCCAGTACCCCTAGTGATACCACTGTGTCCAATATAGTGTTGGAAGATGAGCTCCTAGATTGGAAGACACTAAAATTCCACAGTGGCCACAACGACGGACTGGAACATACCAATGACTATGAAGATGGTGCAGGATAGGCAGTGTTTCATTGTGTTGACATGTGGTCCCCATGAGTTGGATCTAACTCAGTGGCAGCTAATAACAAGACTAGTAGTGGGTTAAGGGCTGTGGTGGGCCTGGACTCTGTCATCACCCCTAGGCCTGAGGGACACAAACTGGGGGGACAATCACCAGGTCAAGAACCAGGTCAGAGGTATCTGTGTGACAAGGGGCACAATCTTGATTGACCTCAGTATCCTCCCTCCCACCAGTCTCTGCCAGGGCCCCCATCATCCCAACTCAACAAGAACCTAGAGAAATTCGGAGGGAGTTCATTGGTGTGTCCACTCAGTACAAGTAGGAGAGGCCCAACACTGGAAGACAAAAGGAAGACACCCAGGAGACCACACAAAGACAGGCTTAGCATTCCCTCCACGCCACACAACTGGTGCTGCTGCCCATCATGACCAGGGAGCCAGGAGTCTCCACCTCCCCCTGAGACAGGGACACATGTAAGGAATGGAAGTTGCCCTGACTCCTTTTTTTTGTGATAATTACTTTTTTTTTTTTGTAAATTACCTAAATTAAACCTACTAATATGCCAAAAGGCTGGTGGTTTAAACCTATCAGCCACTCCTCGAAAGGAAGATGGGGCAATCTACTTCCGTAGTGATACTGCCTTGGAAACCCAAGGAGGGGTCGCTATGAGTCGGGTACGACTCGATGGCACACAACAACAACAACAACAACAACAATATGCCAAAAAGCCAAACCCACTGCCATCAAGTCGATTCCAACTTATAGCAATCCCTAATGGGTTCCCGAGGAGGTAAATCTTTACCAAAGTAATTGCCCAGTCTTCCTTCTGCAGAGTGGCTGGTGGGTTTGAACCATCAGCCTTCTGGCCAGCAGTCAGATGCCTTAGGCACTGTGCTACCAGAGCTTACCTGCTAATAGAAACTGGAAAATTGCAATATATACTTAAGGTGGAAATTAGGTTTAAAAGCCTTTGCTGACAACAATTACAAAATACAAGAAACTGTGACTAACAAAACCGCAATTAAGAAAGTATGAAATTGCCAGAGTGTTTATTGCAGGTTCTCAGGTATGGGTTCAGCACATGAGACCCCATGACAGTGTCCATCTTGATCTGTAGACAAGCAGATGGCTGAATGGCCTGGAATACAGGAGCACAATGAAACGAGAATCGAAATAAGAAAAATATGAGACTTACGCACCTGATTCACCAATTGTCTAGCTTTCTTACTCTTGTCCCCTCTAATTGCTGTAATTCAAATGGGAAACGTTGGCAGTCCAGCTGGCGTGCTATATGCCTAGTTGCTGTCCCACCATACAGCCTCCTTCAGTGTTTCATTAAAGGCTTGCTCTCTATAAACCACCTGTCTCTGCCAGCAACTCTTTCTCACCAGAAGCCAAGAACCCATTTGGGATCTCACCGGGTCCCCCTCCTTTAACACCCCACTCCCTCATTTTGCCATATCCCAACCCCCAGCCCTCCTACTTCCCCATCCTGTATATTGCACTTCACACACTGAATGAAACACACACACTCTGCAAACATTTAAGCACCCAGAACATTTAAGTCAGTTTTCGCTGAAGTTCCAAAGCCACACAGAATCGAATGGGAGAGAGCCTGACAGTTGCCAGTGGCCTGGTCATGTCCCTCTGCCCACTCGGCGTGCTCCTGTTAACTTGCAGATACAAGACAATGCCTCTCTGTGCCCAGAGAGGTTCTTTCTGGAACCCCGAGAAGGTGTCCTGTTAGGGAAGTCACCCACAATTAACGATTCTTGGGAGTTAAAGTATAAATACCCTAGTTCACTCTTCCTTAGGTATTCTCTGCAGGTTTAGGTGAGACCCACTGAACCCAGGAGGGAGAGAAACGACCTTTCCCGCGCTGGTCCCTCCCCCTCAGGGGTGTGTGTGAGGGGCAATCCTTCGCTTGCGCCTGCGCGTTCCGCCCAAACCGTCTCTGGCAGGCATCCCGCCCATGCGTATTGAACAGCCTCTCTCAGTGGTTAAGGGTGGAAGTGCAGCTTAGAATTCACGTCCTGGTCTGTTCGCACAGGTGACCTAAACACCATCTCTGGGTTTCTGGTCCTTGCTGCCGCCTCCCTAAAACGACCATGTCATCCTATAGGCGCGTGGCTCTGGTGACCGGGGCCAACAAGGGCATCGGCTTCGCCATTGTGCGCGAGCTGTGCCGGCAGTTCTCAGGGGACGTGGTGCTCACCGCGCGGGACGCTGCGCGAGGCCAGGCGGCGGTGCAGCAGCTGCAGGCCGAGGGCCTGAGCCCGCGCTTCCATCAGCTGGACATCGACGACCTGCAGAGCATCCGCGCCCTGCGCGACTTCTTGCGCCGCGAGTACGGGGGACTGGATGTTCTGGTCAACAACGCGGGCATCGCCTTTAAGAGTAAGGTTCAGGAGCTGGGGTCTCAGGGGCGTCTGCCTCGTAGGGACGCTGAGGGTGGCGCCTCTTGCGCCTGTGGAGTACTGGAGAAGGCTCCCTAGGGAAAAAGAAAGAGGGCCCTGGGAAGGAGATCTGAATCCATCGCGAGTTGGAAGTTTTCCAGTCAAGGCACATTTATGTTCCTCTGGCTGGTGTTTTTCCAGATTTTCTTCAAACAGTTCCTCTGTTATTGGACTTTAGGGCAGTTGGGTGAACTCTTAATTTTGTATTTTAAACTAATCAATAAGTTGCCAAAAGACAGTATACAGGGGCTAGTGCATCCTGTACCCAGCTTTTCCCCATTGGTACCATCCTATGAACTACAGAATGTCATCAAAACAAATTAGCTTTGGCACAGAACTATTAACCAGCGCCCGGCTTTCCTAGGAGTTCATCAGATTGCACATTAACTTTTTTTTGGTGGTGGTGCGGGGCAGGGACTAATCGGTCGGTCTATGAAAGTTACCACAATGCTACAATTTATTAACTCTGTCCTTTTCTTCCCAAAAGCTGCTGATCCTACACCCTTTCATATTCAAGCAGAGGTGACACTGAAAACAAACTTTTTTAGTACTCGGGATGTCTGCACTGAGTTGCTGCCTCTAATAAAACCCCAGGGTAAGTTTGTGATGAGGCATACCACCCCTTAGTGCCTAGCTTACTGGCAGTGACCTTTGCCTTTCTCTGACCCATCTACCCAGCTCTGCTTAGTCATAGGACTCCACCTACCCTGGCCACCTCCTTGTGTCCGTACCCTGACAGGTGTGGTTCTACTTCAGGACTTTACATTCCTCCAAGGGCCGTGGTAGGTGCCGTATCTGTAGACCTTTACACTCTTGGCACATTTTTATCATTCAGGTTTTAGCTCAAATGCCCCTCACATGTTAGATTCCGTTAGGATTCATCTGTCATCTCTCATTTTTCTCTGCTCCCAAAGTGAACTTAACTTATTCCAGGAGAGCTGGACTCCAATTGGTGAGGGGAACACTATTACCAATTCATTAAATCTTGATCTCCATGACGGGCAACTCAGAAATGATAGAAACAAAACGCCTAAGACAGGCAGCATCTTAAAAAATAAAAAAGGGGGAATTGTGGGACTTTGTTATTTGAGTCCCAAGGTTATGTTGTTTTGCTTATGCAGCGTTGAAGACGGGCCAGCAGTTTTTTGTACTCTTCAAATAAGCTTGTCCTGGAACATGCAGGTTCAAGTGCAAGTTATTTTTCTCATGCTCCCAGTTCTCAGATAAGAATGCTTATTAAGAACAGGGAGTTTCTCTAAAAACTGATATGATTAGCAAGTTGTATTTTGGGGTATAGTGTACGTGGGAAGGAACAAGAAGTTTTGAGAAAGTTTACAACTGTGCCTTTGAACTCAGAATAGATATATTATGCCTGCGAAAAATAAAGCTTTGCTTCAGATCATCAGTCTGAGCCTCTCCCTATCCTTCATCTTCGGCTTTCCCCTTCCCTCGGCTGGACTGCGGCAATTAAATAATAGTTTTTTTATAACATTTTAATTTTTTTTTTTGGTGAAGGTTTACATGGCAATTTAAGTTCCCATTCAACAATTTATACATGAATTATTCAGTGACATTGGTTACATTCTTCACACTGTATGAACAGTCTCATTTCTGTTCTAGTTGTTCTGTTGCCTTTAGTCTAGTTTCCCTGCCTCCTTGCCTTCTCACATTTGCTTGTGAATCATTGTTAACCATTTAGTCTCATAGCGATGATCTTTGAAGGAACACAATACTTATGGGTGATATTCTTTATTTTGTGTGCCAATCTGTTATTTAGTTGAAGGTGGCCTAGTTTCAATTCAAAGTTTAGAAAGTATCTCAGGATAATAGTCTCAGGGAGTCCTCCAGTCTCAACTGACCCAGTAAGTCTGGATTTTTTTTTTAGGAATTTGAGGTTCAGTTCCACATTTTTATCCCATCCTATTGTACTGTGGTCCTGATCAGAATGGCTGTTAATGGTAGTTGGCACCATCTCAGGGAAAATGAGACTGTGGTTCGTATAGACTATCATCCCTGCATACTAGTTTGTTCTTTGCATCTTTGGTTTCCTTCTTTCTCTTTTGTTCCAGACAAGGAGAGACTAATAGTCAGAGTCTTTGCTCCACTGGGTTTTCAATGGTTAATTTTTTTCAGAAGTAGATCACCATGCCTTTCTTCCAGTGCACTTCTGAGTGGACTCAAATCTCCATCCAACCTTTTGCTCAGCAGCTGAGTACATTAACCATTTGCACCATCCAGTGACTCCCATCAATTCATTAAGCCGGTGGCCATCAAGTCAGTTGAAACTCATGGTGACCTCATATGTTTCAGAGAAGAACTGCTCCAGATGATTTTCCTGGCTGTGATCTTTGAGAAATAGATTGCTAAGCCTTTCTTCCAAGGCATTTCTGGGTAGGTTCAAACAGCCAATCTTTCAGTTAGTAGCCCAGCACTACTTAATAGCCCATTTGCATTGTTGACCAGCACATCTACCTCTCCAAATACTCTCCACACAGGAAATTGCACAGGGGGTGGAAGTTCTAAAGGTCATCATTGTCCAGCTGGTGGCAGTGTGGGCTCAGGCCTGTGCTGCATCCTGTGCCATGAACACTTCATCATCCATTCATTAAGCCTCCCTCAATCTGATACCTGCCCACAATACTCCCATAGCTCCGGACCCACATATTTATCTTCCTGCCTCTCCATATCCTCCTGACTACCCTCCTCACTCCTCCACATCTACAACAGATATTTTCAAAGGGGCACTCATTGTCTGTCTTCAGCTGTCTTGCAAAATGACCCTACTGTCATCCCAGCCAGGATTCTGGAGGTCACTATGGCCTACTTCCTTAAATTCATTTACCAGATCTTAAGAGTTTGCCTACCAGTTTCTTCCTTGTTTATCCCTTCCATCCTAGCACCTGCTCTGGGTCTCAACTGTCATTTCTGGGCAAGTGCAAACCCACTTGAGTGATCACCTTTCTTGAGTCTCCCTATTCATGCAATATCTATGCTATCTCTGCAGTTACTCCCCTTCTGAAAATCCCTCAGGAGCAAAGTCCAAGCTGATAGGGATTTCTGTAGTCTGACCCTGCCTAATAATAGGCTCTTTTTAATTCTCCCTTTATACATGTTCAATGTTCTGGACATAACCAACTACTTTTTTTTTTTTAATGGCTTGTAACGTACTATAATCTGTACTCCTAGGTCATGAGAGGGGCGGGGCACGCCAATAAATACACATCAGTTAAGACAATCTGCTGCTGTTA